CCAGACAGCCCTTTATTTGTTTGTGTCACAATGTACACGGTTGCGAGTAATTGAGGGTACACGGGTACTTACACAGCCCTAATATATATGTATTTGTGTACTTTTGGTCTACCTCTGACGACAAACCTGGCCAATCGCATACAGTCAAGGTCACCCAAGACCACTTCGACACGACCTAAGACAATGTGGGCGAGAGGGCTAATGCCGCCCGATTATGATCAACTGGCACTTCCCGCTATCAATTGGAAGGGCAGTTATAATTGCTTTTAGTAGCCTACCATTGAGTCTCTTCAATGTTTATCGTTCTGTAAACAGAGTAGTCTGTACTTCGAAGTAGGTATTACAATCCATGGAATACAATTGACTTGAATCATCACCACGGCATCAATTCGAGACCACCTAGGTTATCAGGGGATACATGGATCCTGAAAGTTAGTCGATAATGCTGAGGTTATGTGACGCATCGCGACCATTGGCTTGCCACCGTACAGGGGGCGCCCTAGATCCATGGATGTCACCTTTCACCCAGTCCCAAGTCCTGACTGACTCCCAACCCCGCATTCTGTCAGATGATGCCAGTGTATATAAACCCTCTCATGTCATCTCGTGTGCCCGTTTGGTTTCCAAGAACCTCACCCTTCCATCAACTTCCATCAGCCTTGCAGCATCAACCTGACTTTTCCATCAATACACTATCCAACACACTCCATCCAAGATGTCGGCAGCCATGGGTCCTCTCATGCAGCAACTGCAGGCCCTCCCTGCCCGTTCAAGGCAGGGTCTGAATAACCTGCGCCAGCGTATATTCCAGCAGGGTATGTTCTTCCCTCTTGGCTTCCGACCGTCTCATCAACCTTGCTCCTGATATCCAAGTGTACTAACACTACTTAAAGGAGAGAGAAAGACCAAGGAAGGCAACCTCCTACGCACTTCCCTTAGTGTTCACCGCCCTGTCTGGATCACTGCTGCTGGTGGTATGTACACCAGCATGGCGGCTGTGTACCTCACGATGCGATATCTAAAACATGTGGCGAGGTAGAGTCGGCAGTCCAGCCAGTTACTGCTACCTGTCTGACTCGCCCATCCTCGACTACATGACTCTACAACCTACCACATATCTTCCACTACTCTTCACACAAATACCCCTTTTATCCCTCGTCGCCATGTATCTACCGAACAACAGCTGCGTCTGGCCGGTAGTTATGTGCGACTGGGGAAATACTTCAGGTCCCCGGTTGGGCTTTTTTTTTCTTTTGGTCGGTCGGTCGTTGAAATCTTCGCTATAGTGTGGTAGTGTGGTAAGATAGACCTGGCGGTTTTGTTCCAAGGGCTACTTTCCCCTAAATCGATACTATCACAATGAATCCTTTACAAATATACCCGAATCTGTATTATATTGTATGTTTCTGGATTGATGTCTCAACTTGCTGTCACTCGTGTTCTACATAGAGTTGTTGCATGTCATGGTAAGAATGACATCGCTCAGCCGAAGGTGCCGGCGATGACCAAGAAAGTTTGATGAGTGCGTGGTAATAATGTCTGAATAACACTGCCCAAATAAGCACAATCCAGGAGGTCATACTAGACATAGCCCCAGCGATAGACTGACCTTCAAATAAGGGGCGTGTAAATAAAGCGAAGACCTAGATGTTTTCCAACCAGGTACACCACCTCAAAAAGTCAACTGTATAAATACCCAACGTAATATCCCTCCTAAAAATTGAGATTATATACCAGTACAAGTAAAAAAGTCGCTCGAAGTATAAATTGAGAAGTGACAGATCCACTTGGCTGAAGAATCCACCCCCGGAAATTGAGATGCTCCACTTCGCCATCGGCCAAAGGAATCAGGAGTGCGCTCGGCCCCTCGCTTCAAACGTATACGATACATGATACCTCAGGCTGACACTTTGTAAATAATTCAGCTGGCCTATCATATCTCTTCTCTTACCCAGGGCGTCGTCACTGCGCTGAGGTTAGCCCGCAGGGTGATCTCATTGCTGATGGGTGCATGCGTTAGTTTCTGTCTGAGTGGCGCTTGGCGACCCCGCGTGTGTGCTTCGTGCGGAATTTCCTGATTGGGCGGTTGACGGGCGCAATGTGAATGTGTGTTTTTTCATACTTGCAGGCAGACTAAGTGATTATTTGCAAGGATAAACCAATGTTTGGGAAGGTTATGTGATCGAAACCTTGAAAACATATTGTCTAGGGCGTTGTAACGTGTGTCCTCCAGCTCGGTGATGGGTCCGTTTCATTGGTGAAAGAGCGAGATATGATATCATCTTCGTAAGATTTTCGAATTGTATACCAAGTAGCAGTACCTGGTCTCATCAAAGGGCCCCCGAATTGTACGTAGTCTACAAAGATGTGGAACAGGTCTCTCTTGAGAAGAAACAGTTACTTCACTCGAACTATGTTTCTTTTAGCCCTTACTTATGACTACAAATGTAATATACCACATGGAAAATGGTAGGCCCCCGGACCCGAATTGCCAAGCTTTGTTTTAAACTCCAGTGGGGCCAACCTTAACTGTTGGACTAACGAGAGCTACCTTAAGTTAGTGGAATATTTCCCTGTTTAACCGTCCAAAGTCAGTGGGATTACCAGCTAAGCCGAAGTCAGCGATTCTCCCAATAGAAGTTGGATTGTGTAACAGGAGCTGGTGAAAAGCAACTCTGCTTTTGAGCTTTCAGAATACGTCCAAGTCCACAGTTGTTATCATGGAGTGGTATGGTATTTTCATCTGCTTTTATCTCTCATCTAACTACTGCCTTAATCGATGGGTGCAGTGGCCGTTCTTGCTAATAGCCAAGGGCTTCGCCCGTTTATTTGGCTTTGTGTTCTTGTACACCTCTTTGGTTGAGACCTTCCAGACTGAGATTTCCGTATCAAACTGGTCACTAGGAGATGAGGGTCTTCTCTTGTGACTTGTGTCTTCGATGGGGAGGAGGGAGCTCGCTAAACTCTTCATGCACTATCTGTATGCCAGCTATAGTCCTCACATGCTACCACTCCGATAGAGAGATAGAGGTAGTAACACAACCAAGGTATAGTGGGGGATAGTATCTTACCCATTCTTGCATCGTACTATGCATATGTTAGCTGTATATCTTGGCTTCCACCCGCTGCCGACGGACTTCCATGACACCCTTTTTTGGTTTTATTAGTGTCATGTTCCATCTCAGTGTATGACGAATCTAGTGTGATCTTTCCCCGGGGCTAGGCTCCGCTCGGCACTTGCACTTAATATCCGAGTTGCGCGCATGGTTAGGGCCAATTTGTCGGGGCCGCAATCGGGGACAGACAACATAACGAAGAAGAGGTCTTTCAGTCCCCACACAGATAGCAGACAAATATTTCATGATCCTGTCGGGGGCAGTGTTTGATAGGATGGAAGGCTTAGCAATATCTTTGGTAATATTGCCGAGGAGCACTCCTAAGAGTGGGATTTTCATTTTCCCGCACGCAAGTTTGACAGAAATGTCGAAACACCAAACATCATTCGTTTGAATACTTCTGCATAGTATTCAGTACTGATATTATAATCATCCCAATAGGTAGCAAATGGCGTGATGTGGGTATAGTGATTTCTCCTCGCTCAAAATGTCATCTCAAGAACAGCCGTCAAAGGAGGTACAGCCACTTTATTCGACTCTACCCTGGACTTCAAGTTGTGAGGGCACAATGTTCAAGTTCGCAAGGTTGGTAAGGTCGGCGAGGTCATTGTCAAAAATTGGTAGTTGACAAGGAGGAAAGGGACAAGAGGCAAGTGGGAGACCAGGAAAGTGAAAAATGATTCTGGCTGGAAAGGAGATAAACAGAAGGAAGCTACATCCTACTTATTTCTATTTCGATCAACTACGTGACATCTAATGCCCATTCCGTGAGTGATATTTTTCACATAGAGAGAGAGAGTTGCCCGAGCAGTACGACCACTTTCCAATTTAGGCAAACCATCCGCTTCAACCGACGAAACCTTGAATATAGTGCAAAACCAAACTCCAGCTGCTGGCTATATGCCTCGATTCTCAAGTTGCAGTCGCGACGCATGACATGGGAAGGATTTTCTCAGCTACTATCAACTGTCGAGTTGGAGCCATTAGTTACTGCCTTTGCACCTTCGTTTATTCGCAATTAGCGCTGGAAGGTTTCTAGAGTTCCTACGTTGAGAACATATCTTCTATTTCAGCATAAGGGATGATTTTTGGATTTCATAGCCCTGTTTCCAGTTCTTTTTCTTGCTTCCTAAACAATCCAATCATCATTCTCACTTTTCACCATGTATTCAGGTATCTGGCTATCTCTCTAGCCCACAATACAACTATGACTACACCCAGCTGCCCCCTACGGAGTTGACTAGTCAGTAAATTAGAATTTGTATCTATCTTCATTTGAGTAAATGTTAAATGCCTGTAGTAAACACTCCACAGCAGTTACTGTTTGGGGAGACGAAGAGCCAAGGGTATTGATCATGCCATGTCCGCGTAATTTGAGACCTAAGATTTGCTGCCGCAACAGCTGCAGCATTTTCCAATGGTGATATGTATGGCATAAAGGAAGAACTAAGAAGTTTTCTGGCTAATTTGAGCTCGCTGTTTATTGGGCTATGGATTTACCTTCTGATGTCAGAATTTTTGCTAGACATATAGCTTAGGGTGCCGGTACATATATATTTTGAGGGGCACGAAAATTCATAAGCATGTGCGCGATGAGTTCAAGAGATTTAGAGGGGTTTCTCTGACGGGGTTGTTCAACTGCGAAGTGCAGGCTAATTTAGCTTACCGCCTTTCTCTTTATTCTTCCAATGCTATACGGTCTTGGCGGATTTGACTCGTTTGCAGAGAAATTATGTCACCTTGGGGCCCGCTGTGATAGCAATGATTCGGTGATGGCCTTATGTTGAATATTCTCCTTTCATTGGCGAGAACAATCGGCTCATAGATTGAACATATAATTATTTTGCGTCTCTCACCCAAAAAACACCAGTCCTGCCTATGACTATGTCACAGGCAGGTGCAAGTACAAGGAAACGGGTTTCTCTCGCTTGCACGCCCTGTCGAAAGAAGAGGTCTCGTGTAAGTCCTGGAAATAAGGACACATCATGGATTCCAATTTTGAGCTAACTTGTTGATAAATGTAGTGCGATGGTGAGAAGCCTGCATGTGGTAGCTGTCTCAAGGAGCAAAGACAGTGTGAATACTCTCATCAGGACGAGAGACGCAAGTAAGTAGCGACGATAATATTAAATGTGGTTGATCAACCTCAAAACTAATCGATACAAAAGGCCTCCAAGTAAGCGCTATGTCCAGGCTCTACATGCCCGTATTGAAAACTTGGAAACCCAGTTGTTACAATACGAGAACGCGCAAAAGGATGCAACACAGCCTCCAAATACAATGGCTACAGCTATGGCAAACCAAGTGCCACTGCCAAGAAAGATAGCAGCAGATGAACCCCAAAAACCCAAATCGGAAGACCCACTGAATGATCTTGTGGATCTCTACGGGGCCTTAAGTTTCGCTGAGGGTCAAGAGCTACGGTACTACGATTCTCGCAGCAATCTGGGCCTTGTCCACCAACAATTGAACACAAGCCGCGTTCCAATCTTTCAAATGCCTTCCAAAATAAGTCACCACAGAGCGAACAGCTTTGTAGTGACACCGGATGTCCAAGAGCATCTTTTGGAATTGTATTGGAAGTGGCAGAATCCATGGCAATATCTGATTCACGAAGAAAGATTTCGACGAGACCTAGAACAAGGAAGCTCTCATGGTTATTGTACACCGCTTCTTCTCTATTCCATGCTAGCTATAGCTTCTCGATACTCTGATCGGCAAGAAATCCGGACAAATCCCGATGATCCGAGTACCGCTGGCGATGCTATAGCGGAGCATGCAAAATTACTTCTCTTTGAGGAACTGGAGGCTCCTGCTGTATCGACCGTCATTGCCGCTGTATTGCTCTCATTGAAAGAGATGTCAGTGAACAAAGAGCCCGTTGGCTGGACATATATGGGTAAGAAACCCGGCTACCCTCGAGTGCGTGAAGGAGTTTTAAACTGAACTTCCACCAGGGATGGCAACACGTATGGCATACAATCTTGGGCTTCATGTTGACCCTTCGAAGTGGGTTGAATCAGGTCACCTCACCGAGGAAGATGCATCAATACGCTCAATTGCATGGTGGGGCTGCTACATGGTAGAAAAGTATTTTCAATGGGTATACACTGCATTGACCGTTGAGACTAACGCAGTATAGGTTATTTAACCAAGGGGTGGGCCGGCCAAGTATGATTTCTGAGCGTAATGTACAGGCGCCGCTTCCACCTCTTGTACCAAGTGTCGAGTATGGTCTGTGGGAGGATAACGAGACAGCCCCGGAAAAAGGCTGTCTCATCTCATATTGCATCTCCACTTTCCGGTATACGTGTGAGATGCTTCGAATGACAGCCGGACCTTTGGATGAGATGTGAGTGCAATTATTGTGGGTTTTCTCAGTGGCTAATTCACCTTGTGTAATAGCTATGCCATCAATGGGAATATGAGCCCACCTGAAAAGGAAAACCTTATTGCACAGACCAACCTCCGGTTATCTGCGTTTTACGACAAATTGCCAAGCTTTTTGCGCCTAACGCAATCGTCTGCCAAAAGCCCTTTACCACCACATATCTATCTCTTTCAGTAAGTTTCATCAGCACCGGCTTTGCATCTATCATACTAATGACATGTTAGCCTCCATTATCATACGGCAATTATTCTGCTTCATCGACCTTTAATTAGTCGATCTCAACATTCAAGTCCCCTCCACAGTTTGCTCAAAACATCGGACTCTTCGCACATAGAAGCATGCACAACATCAGCTGAACGCATCACTTCCATATTTGGGAAATACAGAAATTTCTACTCACTGGTTCGTCTTGCAATCTCCCAGGATATCACCAAAAGCTAACAAAATTCTCGCAGAGAAAAATATCAATCTCGGTGGTAGATTGCGCACGCACGGCAGCCGTCATTCATTTATACAACATGACTTCCAATGACGAGTTGACAAAGGATAAGTCAAGACGGCTGCTTCTACTAACTGTCCAGTATTTGCGTGAGATGAGTGTGGCCTGGGGGTGGAGTCAACGAGCAGTTGTAGCCGTGAAGCATATTGCTGAAAAATGGCTAAAAGAGGACAGTCCTAAAATGCTTGGACTCCAGGAGACAAACGCAGAAACGGAAGGTCAAATGCAGCACTGTGCAGTGTTCTCTACCGATGATACCTCCCGCCAGACGCCTGCTACCGAGGGAAATGTTCAATCAGAAATGCCTTTCCTGGAAAGTCTGAATTGGGATGACATTTTGCAACCTGATCCGAATTGGGATAGCATATTGCAAGATGATCCGAATTCAGTGCAGTCTATGTTAGATATCTGGCAGAGTGAGTTTCTATTTGAATAGAATTACGAGTCTATGACTTTCAAGCACAAATGACCGGCAACTTTATACGGGAAACAAGCTCTATCACGAGCGACTAAGTATGCCATCGGAACTTAACTCTGTCAGTGGATAATCCATATTGCCAGAAGTATTTAGTCATCCACCGTCATTTGCAGGGTATAGAGTCAACCTACCTACCATTTAATTGATAACTTACAAGTGTACAAAAATAGTCGGCCGCTTATGCGGCCTTGTGATATCTTTTTTAGTAGCCTTTTTAGACATTCTATTGGATACTCTTTTGGAGTGTATACGAAGGCGGTAAAAAAGACTTTTTTATGAACAACCTTTGATACTTCATAATTGAACTGATTTATACACTCTTTAGGAGAATCAATTATTTACAAGTGGATATTTTATAATTAAATTGATTTGTGTATTCTGTAATGGAATTGTTTTTATGCTCCATGATTAAAGTGATTTTATAAGCCAATGGGTTAGGATAATGCTCTTCCGGGTGGAGACATTTTTTCTGTGACAAACAATCCACAGCACAACTTGTAGTGATGGGTAACGAATGGTTATTACCGGATTTGAAATTTATCTTTTCGAAATCGATAAGCGAGTAGGATTTGGATATCTCTCCCAAGAGGCTTTGAATGAAAGTGGTGAATGTGAAGGTAGATCAGTTGTGTTGACGCTATAGTGAGACTAGCTCGTTCCTTTTTTTTCTATTTAACATTGAAGGTCTGCAATTTAATTTTTATCCAACAAATTCATCTTTATTTTTAAAAATTGCTCTTATAACCATGGCTTTGGAGATGTAGACAAAGTACCAGCTTCCACAAGCGATTTTACAAAGGCCACAACTGCACGGATTGCAATCCCAGCAATTTTGTCACCATCTCCAGCATTGGGATCAAACGAACACACAGTGAGGGACTTGGGCGTAGCCTTTTGCGGCACGAGACTCATACAAGCCACCAATTCCTCTTCGAACATACCACCCGGCGAGGGGTAGTCATTGACTTTACCATAAGACTCATCAAGCACATCTAGGTCAAGATGCACTAGAGCTGGACTATAAGAGCCTGACTCCAGATGTTTCTTCAGCTCAGCAGTGAAATCCACCTTCCGCTCGGTTTCACCCCATATGGAGGTCATACCTGCGTCAATGACTCTCTGTCGCTGAATCTCACTTTGATCCCGTAGACCGCAGTAGAGGAATCGTCGGTAGGTCATGGGGTGATATCCAGGTACAGTGTTGATCAAGGTTTTCCAGCTCTCTCCACGCAACATGGACAGACCCATCGCATCGAAATATCCGTTCTCGTTCACGTCAGGTGAATCGAGGTCATCGTGTGCATCGAAGTATATGAAGCCGAGGTCTTTGATATTCAGGCCACATGCAGCGCCGACACTAGCCATACAATTCCCGGATAGGATCAACGGGAAGGTATTTTGGGCTACTGCTTCGGTGACGGCAGTTGAGATTCGGCGCAGTAACTCAAAGCTACGACCGATCTCGCCTTCAAACTCATCTACCGAGTCAATTTCGTGGAATTTGATTTTGACACCTAGCTTTTCGAGCGCTTGGGTGATTCCGAGGGACCGAATTCGGTGGGGACCGTTGCCGACTCGGTGGTCGCGAGCTCCGACATGGTATGGAGAGAAAATGATAGTGATCCCATTGGCGGCCATGGTGAATTTTCAGAAGGCCATGAGGATTGAAACAACTTTTTATCGAATATCCGGGGTGTGGTGGTGATTATATACTTAGGGAAATGATCAAGATACGTCACTGGCTCCACTGATCTGGGATGTAAAATACACACAGTGTATCTTGTATTACAATATTTTAATACATGTGTAATTTCGATATATTTATTATTATCTATCGCATGGCAATGTGTCATTCACCAATTAGTTGATCTAATACAGTTTAGACTAAGAATTAACCCATTGCATATAATATAAGGAGACTGGGGCACTCGTTTGCAAGCACCGATCATTTCTCTCCAAGCTCTGCATTAAAATGACCATCCTAGCTAGCCCCAAGACCCATATGGCGATGGTGTACGACCAGCCTGGCAAGGTGTCTATCAAACGTATCTCAATAGAGACACCAGAGCCAGGAGCTGGACAAGTGTTGGTTCGATTGTTAGTATATGTTGTTATGATGTGTTTACTCTGTCTCCCTTACTGACACTTCCGACAGAACTCATACTGGAGTGTGTCATTCAGACCACGGCTTGATGACCAATGCGGTATGTTTTCACGCATTCATTTGTACGAAATCAACTTATTCTAATGGGAATTAATTTACATAGTGGGCTCGGTATCCGCGTCCTACTCTGGCTGGCCAGATTGGTGGCCATGAGGGTGTTGGCTATGTCGTTCGGTTGGGCACTGGACTGGAAGGCAGTAGCATCATGCTTGGAACACGTATGGTCCTAAATTGAAGATCCTCGAGTATTGGACAACATTGCTTACTCTGGTAATTAGGTGTTGGTGTCAAATTTGTCCACAATGCATGTAGAATATGCCCCCATGCTTGGCTGGGGCCGAAAGTTGCTGTCTAACTATACAGATATCTGGCTATTATACTCCCGGAACATTCCAGGAGTATTGTTTGGCACCTGCAAATTACGTGACCCCTATTCCAGATGAAGTACAATCTCACCTAGCCGCCCCGCTACTCTGTGCTGGACTCTCTGCATACAGTGCATTGAAGAAAGCTCGGGTTTCTCCGGGTGACTGGGTGGTTGTTTTTGGCGCTGGCGGCGGGGTTGGACATTTGGTCTGTCAGATGGCTGCGCGGGTCTTTTCTCTGCGGGTTATTGGAATCGATTTCAAAGAAAAAGAAACCCTTGTACGAAGCTGCGGAGTGGAGACATACTTGGCTTTGGAAGAAACCAAAAGCCTTGTGAATTCAGTAAAGGCGGAGACAAACGAACTTGGCGCTGCGGCAGCTCTTGTTTGTACGGGGGAGGACTCGGCATACTCTCAAGCCCTCGACATGTTGCGGTTCAATGGGGTCCTAGTTGTTGTCGGAGTGCAGGAGGGCAAGGAAAGGCCCATTGAAAATGCGTGCCCAAATGCATTTTTGTTCAATCAAAGCATGATTGTTGGCTCATCAGTCGGCAATTACGGCGAAGCTGTTGAGGTCATGAATTTAGCCCGTCGTGGTTTGATCCAGACCCATGTTCAAGTCGACAAGCTGGACAATCTTCAGGCTGTTTTCGAACTGATGGAGAAACAGGAAATCCGCGGGAAGGTTGTTTTGGAGATCTAGTACGATATTCATTGAGTAGAATCGGTGGTTGTGTCTGCCAGGCCTTTCACCCGGTGCTTAAGTATTATGTGTATGCTTGGCTTTCTACCTAGATAAATTGATCCTTTTCCTTTTTCTTCCCGTTGACTTTCTTAGAAATTCATATCTGATTTAAACCTTCTTCAACCTACGTATTGCTTGTACTTCAACTATTCAACTGGACTTAGTGTGCGGAAAACAGCTTAGAGTAAAACTCAATGGCATATATTGAAGCAATAGTGAAAGTTTAATAGGATTACTTTATCTTTTGATCATGCCCAAGAACTTGTTGATCTAGTACGCAATCTTATGTATACAGATTTATCTTTCAGTTTCCACGTGTATTCAAGTGTAATAAATGTATGGTCCACGTATTGTCTCCACGGATAAGCATTATCCCCACGGCGCGATTCCACTTTCGGAGAGCAGATTGGATAATGCTCTTCCGTCCACGGGTACCTCGGTTACCTTATAGACATTATCGTATTATCTGATAGCCTCTCGATATCCGTAAGTGCTTTGAAGCAAAGTGTGGTTATTGCATTGCCGATTTACCGATGAGTAATGAATGATAAACTATGCCCATAGAAGAGGAATCTTCATACGAGAATGCTTTGATCGTTCTCTTGAACCCAACTTGGGATTTGAAAGAAATCCGCAACATAGAACTTCACTCCGACACCCTCCTTACTACGTTAGTTGTCAAGTCTACTTGTCAGTGGGAGGTAGTTATTTCCCAGGTAGATTCTGTGCGGCTGAATCTACGAGCCCAGCTTAGTTGCGTTCTCCGAAACATAGATTCCCCGGTACTCAAAGTTCCCATGGGGTGGAACTTGTAGCGAGAACATTCCTTTGGTTCTACAGTACATAAAGAACAACATAAGTCCCCGAGGCCCCGAAACACTTCGTATTCGCCAGATAGCAGCACAAAGTAACGCCAATGTCATTCTCGGCTTTAGCGAACGTTCAGCAAACAGTCTGGACATAACATAGGTATTTTGCTGCATGACCATATAATGGCGTTTCTCTGGGATATTTACCCTAGCCCGTTTGCAATGAAGATAATGAGGTGATTGCCAGTCGCATGTATACCCTTGAAGGGGTTTCTTCGGTCCTAGTGATTGTTGTAGCTACTGGCTACCGGAGAAGAAGATGAAGAAGAAGATGAAGAAGAAGAAGAAGAAGAAGAAGAAGAAGAAGAAGAAGAAGAAGAAGAAGAAGAAGAAGAAGAAGAAGAAGAAGAAGAAGAAGAAGAAGAAGAAGAAGATGATGATGATGAAGAAGAAGAAGAAGAAGATGATGATGAAGAAGAAGAAGAAGAAGAAGAAGAAGAAGAAGAAGAAGAAGAACCCTTGTGTATTCAATCTAAGAAAAGGGAAGAGCAGGGTATTTATACCCTAAATCCAATAAACAAGCGCTCAATTGGCAAGCAAACAACGGGAGATGTGGTCGTCTCAACAATGACTAAGTAGTTAGTTGAAGATGAGAAGAAAAATTAAAGAAATGCCACAATGGGGCAGACTTTAGGCGTAGTTCAGGATGAGGGGTTTCCGCTGGAGTTCGGGGCCATGACCTCGGGATGGACGAAAGCTGACACAGGATATAATCCCAACTCGGACATATTGATATATTGTGATATTCAATTGGATCTGATTGATTGCGCAAATACCCTTGCTAATCTAGTGGGTCGCTATCCATGCCCGGATCTACTGTGTCTAGTTGTCGAAGAGAATATCAAGTACTAAATAGGACTAGCTAATAAATAGAGCGTCGCTCGCCAATTTGACATCGACGTTCAGAACCCTTTTTGAGGATTTGCAGAATTTAATTGGACGAGATAGATTATTGTATGTACCCTATTTTTGTATGGCTGGCTGTGATATTTATAACTCACACCTTCTATACTAAAGGATATTGTTTTTTCGGCTTCTACATTATGGTGGCATAAGGACGCCCGGCACGCCGATCACCCCTTATAGGTAGGAACCAAGTATATCGCGCTTCCACCACTCCACCCGTTCTATTTATACTCGCCTATGTATGGTTCCACTATCTAACTTGGGCGCTAAATAGGATAAGGAACCTAGCCTTTGAGTTATACGATTTTGTTCTCTCTTGTGATTCACTTCTTGAGGTATGTCTACTACCAAGTGCAAAATTAAAAAAGTGAAGTAACAACTAAGTCTTTCATTAAGAAATGCAGAGTAAGTAATGTGATTTATCGACTCGGAGGATAGTGCTGGGTCTGTTGCGGGGAACCTGTGTTGTATCCACTTCGCGCGTCCCCGACGCAACCCCTACGGACATAACGGGGATTTTCCATCCTTTGGCGTTGCTCTGCATCCTTGGCTAAGAAGCTTAGCACATATTTCCAATATACCCATAGTCTAATTTGTCTACTCATGAAATCTATCATTCGATATTCCTTGTCGCTTGTGCAACGTTTTTAAATTTCATGACGTGTTCGCACACCTTGTTGGTAAATCGACGCAGCCTAGATCCTACATGCATCCATGCACTGTTCGAGAACCTTGCTCTACCCGAGCGTGCCCTTACTCATATCATACAGAGCGGGCCTAGTTTCACTTTTATAACGTCCGGATTGGCTCAATGTAAGCCTGCGACGCCCCGGGCCCGGCAGGACTTTGTACCAACCTGCCCACCCCAGTTTCAAGCCCTATGCAACTGCCCGCAGTTATCACTTCTATACATAGAACATCCCGATTCCGGCTTCGGTTGGTATTGCGACGTGCTGCAGCATGCGGCGATCCCGGAACTTCTACCATTCCTGGCTATTTTTAATCAACCCCCAAGGTGAGTGCTACTGGATTATTTTGAAAACTTGTATTGATTGCTGAAGGTGAGGGGTGAGGCGTTGCCTGGAATTAAGGCGTCCCTATCTCCGACCCATAGCATTGTCCGTATCCTGTCTCCACGCTTGTGACTATCCCCCTTGGCAGATGATAATAACTCATACCAGGTGATCCAGAGCCGAGGTGCCGACGCCTTGCGTTATTTGGCGTCGGCATGAGGGGAACCCCGGCTCCATTCTACAAATATTTGGAGAAACTACCACCTGATTAGGGCGATGTGATGATGCAATACGAGAGTGAGTGCATAAGCCTCTGGTGGATGATGTTGAACTTTTGTTCACCACGTCAAGCTATAAAAAGCGTCTGGTACGCGATAGTAGAGGGCTTTCATTCTGGTTCAACCTACTATCCTCCCAGTTTCCCACAAGCCTCTGGAGAATATCAATATGAAGTTCCAACTCCTTGTTACTCTACTTCCTGTCGTGTTACCCTTGGTGCATGGTGCCCCTGCCCGCAGGGATACCCCCAACCCCGGTCTTCGCGGAAGTGACTCGCTAGTTGGATATTCGCCAGACAATAAAGGTGGTAGCAACTCGCGACCTGATATCAAGTATACTCTGGTTCCAGGGCAGAAGGACGATCCCCAAATTGGAGCACACCTCGATTTTGAGAAAGCCGACAATCCCCAACCGATCCGGGGGCCCACGGGTGCTGATGATCCTGGTCCCAGTACGAGCGCCGTCAACTATCTCGGATTTGACCGGATACTGAGTACGCTAATACTTATTGTAGGGAACTATTACTATGACAGAATAAATAGTGACAAGCTTGCACCTCCCGGAACTGACCATGGTCAGACCATTAATGCGCAGTGGCCGATGGGTAAGTCCGCTAGTCTACGTGGAAAAATATATAATTTGCTTACTATATGTCAGGATTGAGCCACAATAGGTAATCTTCTATTCCTAAATAAAAACATTACAGATGCTCATATCCTTTTAAAAGACTTGGAATAGATGGAGCTGGTTGGGCCCGCCAAGAGAACACAGTTGTGATGCCGGACGCGACGCTCATGGCTGGTGTCGATATGCGCCTGGCACCTGCCGGTTACCGTGAACTTCATTGGCATGTGGCTGCCGAATGGTCCTTGGTTCTGAATGGATCGTGTCGAATCCAGGTACTTGCATGTCCTAATCCGACTAAAATAAGTATTGATAAAACCTCTAGGCTGTGAACGAGAATGGGGAGACATTTGTTGACGACCTTACTGCCGGCGATGTGTGGTTCTTCCCACCGTTAGTATTGCCACATACATAAATAATATTCTATGCTGATGGACTGATCGATAGTGGCATTCCTCATTCTATCCAAGCCCTCGACGACGGAGTCGAGTTCCTTCTGGTGTTTGATGATGGAGACTTTAGCGAGGATAATACATTCCTCGCAACAGAGGTCTTCCTCCACACCCCGGTAAGAAAATCAAATCTTAAATTGGAAACGAAATCCAATTTGCTAACCCTCCAGATAGAGAGAGGTCCTCTCAAAGAATTTCGGAGTTGATATATCAGCCTTTGACAAGATCCCCGACGACGAATTATACATTTTCAAGGGCACCCCCGCCCCGGCGGATATCGAGAAACAGAACGTAACCACAGCTGCTGGACTTATACCTCGCGCTCAGAGCTATTCGTATCATTTCTCTGAGCAGCCGGCCCACAAAGTTGCTGGGGGTTCAGTCAAGATCGTCGACCCGCTCACCTTCCCCATTGCCAACAACTTCTCCGCCGCTATTGTCACCGTTCATCCAGGTGGCATGCGTGAGATCCACTGGCATCCAACTAGCGACGAATGGACTTTCTTTATCTCTGGCCAGGGCCGAGCGACGCTTTTCACTGCTCCGAATGTCGCGACTACATTTGATTATGCCGGTGGTGATGTTGGTTACTTCCCAAAGTCTAATAGTCATTATATTGAGAACACCGGCGATGAGGACTTGGTATTTGTGGAGGTGCTACAGGCACCTGAGTTTACAGGTATTTTTTTCTTGCTATATTTTTAGGTTTTCATGTACTAACGGCTAGTAGATATGGCTCTTGGTCAATGGATTGCGTCCACGCCAAAACAAATCGTTGCGGATACACTCAACCTCAGTGAGGACACAATTAAGAATCTTAAGACGGAGAAGCAATTTGTTGTCGCTGGTACTAGCAGTTAAATTGCCTCGGCGGACCATCCCCATGTTCATAATCCACAGGTCTCGATGACGTTCTTGGCAATTTAACAAAGCGATATTAGAAACGAGGCACAGCGAATCATTTGCGTAATGCCCCGGGATAAAGAGCTCATTACCGTAAGGATCGCATGTACCTATGGCAAGTGGATGGGTCCATTGATAGACCTAGTCGTTCCCGAGAGCTTCAAAAGCCTCCAGGCGGCACTGGTCGATCATCCGTTGAAAAAGAATACTTGGTTAACTAACGACCAATCGTATACCATTGTCACAGTATGGGTATTAACCTCTTCTATTAAGCAGCCAGTGGAAGCTCTGCGTAATGGCCATACTCCAAGGACATCTACTTTGGGTTAGACCGTATCCTCCACTACGGCCACGGGCCGAGCCCATCAGATCCACGCACACGTGTTGCTTACCAATGCACCTACACATTCGACTCCAAAAAATCTTGACAATGCAAACATTTTATTGGACGCTCATGAGTGAAAATGGGATGAGTGAGATTTTAGCGGAATCGATGGCTTACAGCCTGCGTCGCAATACAATCCTTGCTAAGACGAATGAAGACCCTCATTGACAAGAGGTGATTGGCCTAGAGACCGTTAAGAGGTTCTGCGCCCCCACGTGTTATCGTGACCCGCGGGGCTCTGGTTTTCGTTTGCGAAGTCGAGTTTCCAAGAGTTCGAAGATTCTCATTGCTGATTGACACTGGTTTGAGGGGCGATGGATGTCAATGTCCAGTTCATGAGCGACACAGCCGAGCGGCGACGCACTCAAAACCGTCTAGCCCAGCGCAAGTTCCGCGGTGAGCTGTCGTTATCCAACAACCTGTATTGTTCATCCTGCTGATCGGAATCGCGATGATAGAGAAGAAGAAGCGGAGAGTGGCAGAAAATGCCGTTGCGACGCCTAAAGACCGGTCACAATCGACGTCAACTGCCAATACCAATGATAATCTTCCGATCAACTCTTTGCCTTCGTTCGCAAATGCGATCCCCACACTGGCGGGAGATTTGTCTCCAGACGAAATTCCGATCGCTCGTACATATTCAGGACCGGTAGATAACTTTGATCTCGATGCGATAGACCAGTTCTTGTACCAAACCAACCATGATTTCTCCTTGCCTTTGTCCGATCCATCGCCTGTCCAGTCAAGTGTGACACGAGTGAATTTTACCCAAAGCGATTCGTCTGGCCCCAGTTCACGCAATGCCCCCCTCAACAGTACAACGAGTGATAATTCGGCGTCGCTCTCTCAATCTGGGGATAGCCATAGCCTGCCATTACATCACATAACATCCGCTTCTGATATTGGCCTAGAAAGTCTGGCCCCCCAGCCTTCGCAATCGCCCAACTACGATACGGTATTGCAACTTATCACATCTGCCAGAAATGACAAGGGATGGATTGGCACGCTTCACATCGCCGCTCAGAAGGGCCACGAGAGAATCGTTCGAGTTCTTTTGCTCCAGGGTAACATAGATGCAAACAGCCAAGATAGCGACGGTCGCACACCCCTGATACACGCGGCCATTGAGAATCACGACTCTGTAGTCCTCCTACTACTCTCCCACGGTGCTCAGATAGGCGTGTATGATTGCGATGGCCGCTCTGCACTGCACTGGGCTGTGTTGCATCGGCGACTGGAGATACTTAAGCAATTGCTTGAGCATCGTGCCAAGTACGAAACCGGTTTGGATATTGATGTATACGATAATTACGGCTGGACCCCACTGCATATGTCCGTGGATAGAGCTTTTGAGGCTGGAATCTTGATGCTCCTCCAGGAGGGTGCGGATATCAACGCTAAAGCACACAAATGTCCGTATACAGGCACGATACTGCCGCTGATGGATGGATAGCGATAAAGCGATGGTTTTGATGGAATCAGCAATCTCTTTGGCATCATTAGCGGAATTCGATGCATTGTATAAGACCTGGAGGGACCGGGACTTCCCTACGCGTATGAAACGATAAACCGATTACTACGTCACTTCGTCTTCCACACACCATCTGTCCCTTGTAAAATCTAGGGGACAGACTCACAAATTGCCGAAAGATTATACGTGAGCATCTACCTTGTTTGATCGCTGCCTACCGCAAAGTCACTGCACTGTCAGGCCACCGCTTCAACGACATTACTACCACCTCCGCCCATGCGCGAGTCAGAAACACACAAAAGTCGAATGATATTGTTCCCACTTGGCGTAATGCCGCGTATTCTGCCAATATAGACGTGAACAATGAGCACAGATGAACCGCAATCAGAATCTCTTGAAATCTATCACATCAAATCGTGGTACCTATATTAATGAAACAATTAACATTCGACACCAATAAAGAAACTACAGATATCCAAAAGGGGTTCTTAGCAGGACCATTCAATTATAGATACCCTATAAAGTCAAAGTATAATAATTGAAATGGTTGTCCAGTATCTACCAAGGCTCCTGATTGCCGTCATACTTGAAGAGCTTTCCACTGTGAGTTTTGAGCGTAGACGCGTCAATGACCTTGACCACGCCCGTAACACTCTCCTCCACGGTAATGGCGGCTTTCTCGATCCCGAAAGCGTCAGCGCCCCGGTTACCGAGCTCAGTCTGGACCCAGCTATATCGTGACGCCATAATCAGTCTATCACACAGGAACACTAGGGTGGGATTGAACATGTGAAACTTACCCCGGGTCCAGAGGGAACGCGGTCAACCAAGGATCTTCAGCGGAGATCGCCTTGGTGTACCAGTGCTGAGCACCTTTGGTGGGAGCGTATGCAGCATTTTGCAGGGGTATAAAGTTCCTACGAGTGGTTAACACACTCGCTCAGGTCTGGGATAGGTGCCATCTGCCAAAGGCAACTGGACTGGTATCAATGGGATACTTACTATAAATAATATTAGCACCTGGTCTGGGTCAAAGAAAACAGACTGGTGGGACTTACCGTCAGGAAAGCGGAGCTGGATCCGATTGTTACCAACTTGGGGGCCTGTGCTTCCTTGAGGACGGGTCGGAAAGCTTGGTAAAGACGGATGAAGCCATATACATTAACATCGACGTGCTTCTGAATATCCTCCACCTTGACCTCTGACACCTTTGGCCATAAAAGAGCGATACCGGCGTTGGCGATCAGGATGTCGATGTGGGTGATTCCCTTAGTAGCTAACGTATTCACGGCTGCAGCGGGGTCAGTTGGAGAGAGAGCATCGAGCTTGATAACCTCCAACGTAGTGCCTTCGGCCTTGGGTAGATCAGTCAAGGCATAAGAAGTTGGGTGGCTTGGGTCACGGTTGGCGGCGATCACCGTGTGATTTGGCTTCTGCAAGTATAGTTCCAGGATACCTTTTCCGATGCCACGGTTGGCACCGGTGACAAGGACGATAGTTGGAGCCATGGTGGGATTCAAAAACTAGTTACGAAAAGAAATCAATCTGATTGCTAGAGGTGAGATGGAGATGTGGCAGGAGTTGAATTCCCTCAATAGATGCATGAACTGCACCAAAATATATACTACACTTGCTTATGAATATGACCACTTGCTAATAGGTGCAAGGTCATCATTAATCTGTCACCGAGACTTGGGCAGCGGGTCGATTTGTTTAGGAAAAGTATCCAGTAGCACACAATCTAAAATAAAACCAGGGCACCGGCTCCAAGATCAATAAATCTCATTACCCATGCTTGATCATCAACCATTACTCCGTGCCACTCAAATGACGTTCCATAATGTTCTTGGAATGGTATTGTGCAAGGTCAGCAGCTTACTGTGGGGCTCCGGGATAAGCAGTGGAAAATAAGCAGCCAGGAGCATCCACACGGTGATATTCGAGTCTTAATTACGAATGGTGTCAATTGATAATCGTGTGAATTTGATAGCCCTCTTATTTTCACTAGAATCACACAATTTTATACAGAAAGTTAATGTGAAACTTCAGTCGCAGAAAAAAAAGTGACACAGGTCAATGTAGATCAGGTATTCAGGTACTCTAGGGATTGGAGTTCCGGCTAGAGTTATGATAAACCTCGTCGAGCTAAAGTTCCTTCAATCTCTTCTCTACGGAGTACTCAATGAGGTCTTGAGTTGACTAATTCGAGCTCCAGGAGCTTCGGATTATTGCCAACCATCAATTTCCTTGTCATAGACTGCTCTTATAACATTCTAGAGACATTTGAATTACCAAGGGAAACTGCCATCCTTATGAATGAACCGTCCAACATCAGAATCCCTCCGGCCCTCCAGGATACTCAGTATCGTGTTTCCCGAGATGGACGGATCACTCGCATGCCCCCATCCACTGCGCGCCTCCTCACTAGTTCCACGCAGATTCGATCGGACGAACCCCGGACAAACCGCAAATACCTTCAGCGGTGTATCGCGGCTCTCAGCCCAATCCTGGATCATGATCATATTCAAAGCCGATTTACTAGCTCGATAGGCCTCCCCATTAGACGGACCCCGGAACACCTTGGATGTAGGATCTGACGCTAAGGCCAGGGACCCGACCCCGCTAGTCACATAAATAGAGTAGGGGTTTGGCGACTGCAAGAGCAAGGGCCGGAAGGCGGCTGACACGAGTGCCGGTCCAATCACATTGGTATCCATGCAGAGTTGGAGCCGCGTTTTGATGTCCGGGTGTCGACTCGCCACTCCGGCGTTATTCATCAGCACATCGAGATGTCCAAATCTTTCCTGTACATTGGTCTTCGCTGCTTGGATCGATGTCTCGTCTGTCACATCTAGTTGCACGGTCGATATGTTTCCCGTTATCCCCTCTTGCTTCAGTTCATCGAGGGCTTGCATGCCTTTTTCGAGGGAGCGGCAGGCGAGAATTACATGGAATTCTTGGGATGCCTGCGCGAGTACCTTGGCTGTCGCGAGGCCGATGCCCGAATTGGCTCCTTTTTAATCATGTTAATTCTATCATGTAATGGGTCGCTGGGGCAATCCTACCGGTGATGAGGACAATCCGTGGAGACATTATGTGAATGGTAAACCAAAATAAACAACAACAGTGATAGGAGTATTAATAAAAAGCTATACACAGAATATTGAGATTATTGAGAGAGAAGCAGATGGTAACTCTCTTTATGATGGTCGTTCTGGAGGACCCAAAATGGATTTAACACGGTCTTTGTTGCTGTTCTACTAAAGAATACGGCATTAAACAACACAAGTCCGAAGCTACTATTTCCGCAAGTAATTCATCGTGAATTGAATCAGTTGCAGCAGTTAAATTCACTACCTAGTTCAATTGATTTCCAAGCATTTTAGAGGTGAATCTTCAAGTGACAGGGGTTGGTAATGCAAAACCCGACAAAAGCCGACCATCACTACACCATTGGACTCTGATAGATGAACTTCAACCAGAGCTGAGGAGACATGAAGGAGTTAACTTCTTATCGCCGATTGAGACATTGTGAAGGATTGTTCACCTGACAATTGTTTTGTCTGGGGTTAAGTCAAACAAGTCGATATCTACATCCCCAGTGTACTAACTAGGTGGGATGTTTGAACTAAACCTCGACAACTTTTATGCAATCGCCCTGCAGATCTAAACCAACCAGCAGGTTAGCCCAATCTAAGAAAATGACTCTTCCCCCTCCTCCCCCAAGACCGCCCTAGGTTTTCACCGTCTCCTAGTCCCTTCGGCACCGGTGCGTGTGAGGCTTCTATCCGCGGGCTTTATGCCACAGGGTCCGCAGCGTGTGTCCTTCCTCTATGGGTTGGGTCATTTCGACTATGTGGAAGCTCAGTCTGTAATTAAGCCTCAGAAGTAGTCACACCAGTCACTAAATTCCATGGAAATACTGCGATATATAGAGCAATGTATGTGCACATAATTCCAAGATCACTTGTCCTTTGACCGTCCAAGATGTAGACAATGGGGTATTACCATTTTATCAACAGAGATTACAAGGCCCCATAGAGAGCATGGAGAAAGTATGATATAATGAGAAGTAAAGACCCGAGTGCCTCAAGATCTACCGTCGGGTTTAGTCGGACACTACAAACCCCGTGTTCAGCACGGATTTTAATATAGTGGGACCAAATGATTCAGCGCCATTCATTTACATTGTCCTATCCCCGAATAGTGCGTGTAAGTATGATAAATAATGCCAATTATAGGAGCCCCAATAGCCAATAGGCCACAAGTGGCAAAGATGCAGGGGTGTTCGGGCTGTCGCAAACAGGGTCCGATGGCCCCATACATATTGATTTCTCCAAACATCGTTCCCTTCTTTCATCTTTTGCTTTCTATTTACAGCAAATACAATCATGTCTGGAGTACGCCCATTTCCTCGGAAGACTGCCGCCGCAATCGCTGTGGTTGGTGTAGTTGGATTATGTGCTTCTCGAAAGGCTTCTCTCCGCAATGAAGCATTTGCGGAGTCTCCAAAGCCTTGCGGTGGTCCTAGGGGTCCTGGAAGTCGCGGTGCCCCCAGTGGAAGAATGGGATTCCATACTCTGCGCCTGGAAAGTTCCCAACAAGTGAACGATAACACCAAACGCCTGCGCTTTCAACTACCGGACCCAGCCTCGAACGCCGGTCTTTCCTTGGCCTGTAAGCTACCCCGTGCATTCACGAACGACAAATAAACGATAAAAAAAGACTGATGTCGGCCTTAGCGTTCATCCTTACGTTTCATAAGCCAAAGGACGCTTGGTTTCCCGTAATTAGGCCATATACCCCAATTAACAACTTCGGTAAGTTGTGGGGCTCTATTTTCAGGGCAAAATGAATGACCTTTTGTTCTGACATGCATCTGCAGATGAGCCGGGTTATATTGAGCTTCTAGTCAAAAAATATCCTAATGGCAGGGCAAGCGGATACTTGCACTCTCTCCAACCCGGTGATGAGCTGAATATCCGAGGACTTATGCGGGGCTACAAATGGCAAACCAATGAGTTCGAACATGTCAATCTCATTGCTGGTGGTGCTGGCATCACTCCAATGTACCAGCTGATCCAAGGGATGTTGAACAACCCCGACGACAGAAGCAAGATCAAGTTGATTTTTGGAGTCAACACAGACAAAGATCTTGTCATGAAGAAAGAACTTGATGCGTTTGTGCAGAAGTTCCCCGATCGTCTCAAGATTGTCTACAGAGTCTCAGACCCAGTTGAGGGATCCCCGTTCACTAAGGGCAGGGTAACCAAGGAGTTACTGGAGAAGGAATTGCTGGGCCCGAAAGATAGCAAGGCTACCAAGGTCTTCCTGTGTGGGCCTCCTGCTATGGAGGCGGCGATTTTTGGAAGTAAAGGGTGGATTTCAAGTCAGAAGGGAATACTAGAAGAGCTTGGCTATGCTAAGGACCGGGTTCACAAGTTCTAGGACGTTTTTCTTTTCTCGATTTGAAAGTCCAGATATTCAAGATACCTTATTCACGAAGGCTTTGAGATTAGACTAACCAGAATAAGATTCGCTTGAGATGGAGAAAAGGGTAGTTAAGGATATACCACTGTCTTGATAGATAACTGTAGGGGAAAGAGGTCACAGAGTCTTGAATCAGAAACAAACTATAGAAATGTCAAACATTATAAAGATGCAGTCACGCTTGGCATCATGCCATACACCGAGAGATGCGCCGAATACCATAAGACAACCAGGCACACCTGCATTTTCTGATCCTTCTAATGTTCTCGACAAGCACAGGGTCGCCGTATATCGGCACGACGACAGAAGACCTCTTCGCATATGGTTCTGACTAAGTCAATCTGTCTGGAGGTACCCGACCTGCCCACCGATCTGAATTTGGACGGGGATATCTATCCCAGCAGGTGACCGACTGATGACCCACTCATTCTTTGGGTGTTCGGCCTTCCATTCGTACCCGTCTATGGAGATTACTATATATTGCATCGTTGGGGATGCGCCATCTGGCGTATACTGCCCCAGGCAAGAGACAGAGGTTTTGCGTGGTCGCAATTCCGGGTGCACTTCTGATGCAAGAAAAGGAAAATCTCAAGATTTGAAAGAGTCAGAATCGAATATCGTTGCGAGTGGAGTCTTTTTAGATATACTTTCGACGTGCTGGCGTGATAATTTCTCTGCTTGGATCCTCGCCGCCAATTATTTGTCGGGTTCATTGGGCTTATTCGTTTCATCCCACACCCACTTGACAATGGTGATCACTGACTTTGCTGTGTTGGATTTCCTCCAGTTGGATCTAGCCAAAGTTCCACGCGCTCGAGCGTGGATTGTCACTCGGACACATCCACTTCGAGGATGAAGATGGAATGGCTGGTATAACCAGATCGTGGAGCGGACAGGACCTCTCTGGGCGAATAGTTAAGCGAGGGAGAGTCAGTTATGGTGTGGCGGTTGCTTGGGAGAAGAGGGCCAGAAAGATACGCAGTAGTTGGGGTTGAACCCACACATCAATGTCCTCGTGCCATCTGGCACGGCCATGGCAGAAAACATTGATGACAAAGAGAATGGAGGGACAGAAGTGTACCAACCAGTCCAGGTACTGATCGTGCCTTCCCTATACGGTAGTCCATCACGCCGCCTTGGATTTTGCCTGTAGCGAGTGTTTGATATGGAGGTTTTTTTAGATGGATTCTTATATACAATATCTGAGGTCTAGTTTTCTATAGTTGAATTCTTAAGACTTGAGTCCTTGAATCGACTGGCTAAACCCTACTCGTCGCATTTGTTGTCCCTTGGGTCTGGTCCTATGCCTATAGAAGGTGGGGTACAGCTGTTCATTTTACAACACATAGAATACGTATTTATTGGCCAAACTGACCCTGAGGATAACTAACAAATGGCATTCTCTGTCTCTGAAAATCAAAATCACAGATGATTGATTCTTCACTCCGTTTAAGATTTATCCCACCCCCAACGGCTCTATGTGACTTCAATCTGTGATATATCCAGCCAGCCAGCTTCTCTGGCAAATACCCTCAAGAAGCAGCACAAACAGCGTCACTGCAGGATGGAGAACTGACATAGTTGATTGTCAACTCCCCAGTGCTGACATCATTCCCTGGCTGGGTTGGATCACTTCCACAGACCCTACAACCGTGATTCGCAATGTTGTTGATATGTCCGAGGGCATCGTTCAGGTTACCGCTTGCACCAGATTGAAAAAAGGCACAATAATAGTCGGCGCATGCAATTTGTTCTTATAAAATAGTAGGTTAGTATGAACGCAGGCTCGGATATCTTTTCCATTCTGTAGGTGGGTACGTACTGCCTTCACTATAAAAGTTACCGCCGGAACCCCTATTAACTGCTCCTATTACCGAGTTTTGTATTCTGGAAACAATTGGGCTTTCATTCCCATGGCAAAGGAAGCTGCCGCGACAGTTGATTCCAAGGGCAAGTGCCATTGTAGGAAGAGCTAGAGCTTGAATAATGAGAGAAGGTAGCTGCATGATGAAGTTGGTAACGTGTCCAAATATGAATTTGTAGATTTCGATGATTTGACTCGTAAGGGAGAATTTTAAGTAGGGTTAATGCGTGCCTATTTATCCTCGAAGTTCATCAGGCGTACCTTTATCAGGCCTCCATTTATCAGGCCTCCCTATAATAGGCATGCCTTTATCAGGCGTATCCGACCAGGGCTTGAGCATAGCAGCTGTTTATTGGTGTAGGGCATATCCGTATCACACGGTCAATTTTAACACGGGTGAGAAAGCAAAGGGAAGCGTTTTCGTGGACCTGTGGACATGTAGCCTCTATAAGATGTCTTTAACATCCATTTTAGATATCAGTCCTATGCCCTAGATGTGACTATTGAGCCACTATTGGGAGTAGGCTAACAAAATGGGAGTTGAAAGCGGTTTACTCTGAAACCAATGAACAATCGTTAGGGAGAAAATAGATTTCACTACTGACTGTATTGCACTAAGATCCTGTACTACTATTAACATCTCTAATTCAGAGTAAAACGCAATTTACACTTGGCCTGTAACATAAGGTTGATCGAGCGAAAATGTCGGGACGGGCCGAGACACGAACCCCTGAACCGCCCTACCACAACGAACACCTGATGACTGAGCGCTTACCTAGCTGAGCAATCACCCTATCCATGGATAGGTACTACCTAGGTATAAAATACTCAGCAAGCAAGAGATAAAGCGGCGGCACCCCGATTGGGAAATTCGTATCCGCGGCCTAAAATATAGTACATACAGGTACGTATGTAGTGCTTGATGTCTTGTATATCCACCGCAGTGAGATAAATACGTTCATAGTTCACTTATTGAACGCAATCTTACTGGAAAACGCGCCGCAGCAGGTCATGGGTATTGAAATAACAGAAAAATAAAACGCCTATAACTCATGAAGAGACCACTTCTCCTCATTAGGCTAAGGGCTGTAGGGTGGAGGTAGATCAAGACCAGAATCACCCGGACTATTCCCTCTAGCATCTAATTCAACAGGGTAGCTAGGAAGACAAATATCCTGTCGGGGGTGATTTTCAGAACCTAATTCAGAAATAGTAGACCCAACAAGCACAGGTGCGGATTGCTATCGAGCATCGTCAGTTTATGTGGCCTCATGGTCACGATTCAATTGACTTACCCCGGCCTTCGAGCCATAGTTCCTAATATAAATAGGATCCTGATTCCCAACCTTCCCAACCAGTTCATTTCGCTTCCAAATGCCATATTTAAGAACCAGTCCCTGGAAATCACACCGCTCGATAATGCACTCAGTGACAACGCAGTTTGTCAACGTAGCTCTCTGGAGTTGACTGTTTGATACCATCGTTCCGGTCACGGTACTTCGCGTAACAGCACTCTTGTCCTGAATCATGGACTGTCCAATTGTGGATCGGTGCACCGAGCTTTGTGTTTGGATAGTGCTATTTGTGATAGCGCTGCGTTCGGCAAGGGCCGCATCGTGGAACTGGGATTTTTGAGCCGTGATCCGGCTCACATCTTCCACTTTCGATAGCACACACTCGCTTAGTGTTGATCGCTTTACGCAGGAATTGTTGATTGTGCAGTTGCTGAGAGAGCATCGGGTAATTGTGTTGCCGTCGCCGTTGAAAGCGCTGGATTGCGCTTTGTGGTTGTGCATAATAGCGCTCAAAATTCGAGTGTTTGGCGAATGAACGAGATATAAGTAATTTTCTCGAAAGGTATGTTAGAGTAAATTCTGAGTTGAGAAATGGGGGAGTTCGGGATTTTGGGTGAGCTGACATCGAGCGGTCCGAGGCCACCTGAGGAAAGCTGTTGCCTACAGGCGTTTACACCAAGGTGATTGGAAACATAAGCTACACATGGTAATCTACCACTAAATCTTTGTAGAACAAAGGTCCCCGCATTTACATGGCGAATTGTCGCTCTGAGACATGATAGGTGGCCCGTGATGCGAGACAATAGACTACAATGTACGTATGGAGAGGCCTAAAAGCGGTCTAAGATAAGGCTTAATTTAGACATAAGTCTTGGAGAGGAAGCTCTGAAGATAAGTGGCTTGACTGGCTCTGAGGAAAAGAGGAATAAGGAACAGAGAGAACTATCTAACCTACAGTCCTGGGACATGGGGTCACGTGATCGCGTACCCCAACAATAAGTCAACCCCAGATAAGGCACCCAGGCATCAAAACCAGGCATTTATCATCCTCCACCCCCAATCTTTCCAGCGATCTAACTTCGAAGGCGATACTCCCCGGGTTAAACTCATTTAACACGAGAGTCTCCAAACTCTCGGGAAGGCGTGGAATAGGATCAGGTGTACCATCTTCGTCCCATGCCATTTGAAAAAGCTCACGCATAATTGTGGAGGTAATAAGGTATTTCAAACAGCACAAGCAGTAGAAACCCGGCTGGCTTCCTGCATACCATAAGTCGAGATCAAGATACTCCAGACTTGCCGAGCCACTCTCTTTGATCTTTTGGATGTACTTGCGTGGATGGATAATGGTATCGAATTCCCAGCTATCAGACGCCCCGCTAGGGTGCGGCCATGGTTCTTTCATCGTGAAGTGAGTAAGACCCTCAGGAAAGGCGAGGATCATTTCAAGTATACCCGGGGAAACATCGTAGTTGAGAAAGGCAAGGTCTTTTAGAGCTGTCTTCGTACAAGTCGACTTTGGGGCAAAGGCCTCTGGGTCCAAGACTCGATTGTGGCACCTTGGTTATGGAGCGTCTCGAGATGCTCCATGCGGAAAACGACCTCGTTGGGACCGAGTACCCACGCATCTTGAGAAAGACCTCTGAAAGATATGCCTAGATACACTAGAAGATATTAGCCTTTGGACTGCTCCCTTTTGTCAGATTCTGGGACTTACATGACCTTAGTTTTTGTCCAGCGTATTGAGTAGGGCGCTCAACCTCCAAGTTGTTCCTGTCCCCCATAAGGTTCGAGATTAACCTATGATTCGTGGAATCCAAGATACCTCTGAGAGGCACGCTGCGCATGATCAGGCTTTCCAGGTTCTGCATCTTGACGATGGCACCCAAGAGAGGCTCGTGGGTTTGACCTTCTCGGGAGTCATTCAAGTGTACCTGTAGCTCAAGGCCCAAAGAAGATAGCCAAGAGTTTTCGTGAAAGGTTCTTTCAAGCTTCTCAGAGCTGGCTGGGTTCATCAAACGAATTAAAGAGTAAAGTGTTGGGGCTCCGAGAACATAGAATTTTCGACGCGCCAATGTAAGGCTGGAAAGGGAATATGGCGATTCTCGTAAGTACTGGAAGATCATTTCCACCAATTCCGGTGGAAGAGTCTCAAAGATGGAGACTTGAGAAGCCATGGCTGGCTGATGTAGGTCAGAGAGAAAGGTGAGAGATAGGAGAAGTTAGATTTATTATCTAGTGAGAAGAAGGTAAAGAGAAGAGAGCAAGGATTCATCTACAAACAGAAGCCAGCCAAATGCCCAATTGGTCCCTGACAAACAAGACATCAAGGCAACTGCTCTGTGTCGACATATTTTTATATAAGCCTCGTGGCCTTCTTATATAGTCTTCTTTCATAATTCACAAAATAAAGCCCAGAAGACCTGCCCTTTAGTGACAGTTAGTATTGCTCCTCAGGCTTAGTTCAAATAGATGGAACAACCCACACTTTTTGTGCTATTAGTTGATTTCCCAGTGGGATCAGCTGCCCATATAATGATATATCCTCTATATCCTCTATGTTGTGTATATTTTTCTGGCTATTTCACGTATGTAGATATCGACGTGACTATAAGGGGAGCAAGAAGAAGAAGCTGGGAAGTGATGAATCTCCTTACCGTCATGAAGCTCTATTTATACTTCCTGTCAACAAAGACAAATTTCTGTCACCTGCAGACAAGCAATCAACGCTCCTCTGCCTTGCTGCCTGGGTGCATCACTATTCCGATGTCTTCATCGTTGAATAAGGAATACCCGTACTAAAGATGATCAGACCAAGAAAGGAATAGAAACCCCCGATAAAGAATTAAGATAAAGTGTATATTATAGTCGCAGGGGTAAGTGAAGGCCTAATGTTGACTTCGAAGAAACTCGGCTTCTATCAGAATACTTGACATACCCACTACCCTGTCCATGCTGGATGCTACCTAAGTAGAGATGAGCACAACCTCATTGACTGGCTGCCTGGAAATCTTGCCAGATCCTCACTATGTAACTCCATGGTTTATGTATTTCAATGAGTGAATGAACGGAGTATTCGTAGCGAAATCGAGGAATGTATCATATATCCAGCCACAAGTCGCAATTTCAAAAGCAGCTGACTCTCATGAGTTCCTGAATTACTTGACTTGCTTGAACATATCTTGGAATATCGGACCAAAGGAAATTGATGCTCCTATGTACACTGTAGCGGCCATCACAGTTATACGTGGCCTGGATTCGTTTCGTGTGGCCCCATCGTGGGCAGAGGTGGTGGGGTGGTGATAAGGGTGGTGATATCTGTGATCATCTCAACGCAGTATACCTCGACTAGCTCAATTGCCAGATGAATTAGTACGGTGAACTTTTGGGGTTTATAAGCTGCCCCCTGGTCTTTTTCCTTTCACTTCTTGCTCATCTTTCTACCATTCCAGGTTTTCGCCCTTATACCTTTCTTCAACTATCAACACCCTCCGAGTCTCAATAATTTACCTTTGATTCTGAATATTATGCCATCCAATGCCCAAAATGTGGGCATCAAGGCCCTGGAGATTTATTTTCCTAGTCGGGTTCGTATGATTTATTGTCGACTCTGGAATAGAACCCATTTGGCAACTAACATTGATACTACCTTATATACAGTACGTCCCACAAAACGAGCTCGAGACCTATCTGGGGGCCAGTACTGGGAAATTCACCATTGGCCTAGGTCAGCAGAAGATGGGCTTCTGTGATGACCGCGAAGGTATGCAGACAAACTCAAAAGCCCATACTCCATGCTCCATGCTAAAATATGACCACATTCATAGATCTCTATTCCATGGCACTTACAGCCGTCTCCTCGCTGCTAGAAAAGTACAAGATTGACCCCAACACCATTGGCCGCTTGGAAGTGGGAACAGAAACGTTGGTCGACAAATCCAAGTCTTGCAAGTCGGTGCTCATGCAACTGTTCGGGGAGAACACGGATATCGAGGGAATCGACACCTACAACGCCTGCTACGGTGGAACCAATGCCCTGCTGAACGCAGTAAACTGGGTCGAGTCATCCACGTGGGATGGTCGCGACGCCATCGTCGTGGCGGGCGACATCGCTCTCTATGACAAGCCTGCCGCACGCCCTACTGGCGGCGCCGGCTGTGTGGCCATGCTAGTTGGTGCCAATGCGCCCCTGGTTCTGGAGCCTTTTCGTGGATCGTACATGAAACACGTCTACGACTTCTATAAGGGCGACTTCAAATCGGAGTACCCTCTTGTCGATGGACACTACTCCAACACATGCTATCTCGAAGCATTGGACAGCTGTTACGAACGGTATCGAACTAAATATCTGGCTAAAAGTGATGGCTTGACGAACGGAGCTGCAAAGTCCCAGGGTAGTTTCTTGGATACTTTTGAGTATTTCGTCTTTCATGCGCCTACATGCAAGCTCGTCTCAAAGGCCTACGGTCGTTTGTTGTTCAATGATATGCGGACCGAGCCCAACCGCTTTGAGGAAATTCCAGCAGCGGTCCGCGAGGTTGAGTACACTGCGTCCCTGACGACCAAAGAGGTTGAGAGGACTTGTATCGGGTTGACGAAGGAAAGGTTCTCCGATCGTGTCCAGCCATCCACCACAGCACCCACAAATTGTGGGAATATGTACACTGCTAGTCTCTACTCTGGGCTGGTGAGCTTGCTAAGCAATGTTCCTAGTGAGGAACTGCAGAACAAGCGCATCGGGATGTTCAGCTACGGCAGTGGTCTGGCTAGCACCCTGTTTAGTCTTCGGGTCAAGGGCGATACTTCTGGGATCGCGCAGCAGCTCCAGCTGCGTGAGCGTTTGGAAGCTCGCACAGCGGTCTCGCCTGGGTTTTATAACGATGTAAGCTTTTCTTTCTTGGTTACCTAAGGAGCATATCGTCTATGAATTTAGTTCTAATAATGACAGATATGCAACCTCCGGGAGAAAGCCTACCAACAGAAGAGCTATACCCCTGTTGGAACCATCGATGACCTGGCTCCCAATACTTACTACCTCGTCCACGTTGACGAAATGTTTCGACGAAGTTATGAGAAAACGCCGGGTGTCTGAGTGATAGAGTCTCACGACGGAATTTGACGGCACTTCGTGAGAAATGACGATACCCCTTCTTTTAGGGAATAACACTTGTTTTGGCATACATATTTTTTTAGTATTTTTGGGGACTTGTTTGTCTATCTCCTGATTGAAGGCTATACATCGCAGGTAGACACTGTGTAAATTTCTTGTTATTCAACACAAAGTCGGGCAATGAGCGCGGCTAATTAATCTCTAAAGCCGGACATTGCAGCCCATGCAGTATTTTCGCAACACAATATACACACTAAAGCTTAACCCTAAGCAAATTTCCAACCCGATGTTACTATACTCCACAGTGTATGCAGCGAAATTGACCAAGTACATCAGTGGATACTAAGCTTTACCCGACATAGAAACGTCTACAAATGTGATAGGCATTGTTTCAAGAGTAAAAATTGATTACTATTATATAAATATAAGTCGAATATGACTTCATCCCCCGGAACAGAATGTAAATCCTCAGTGGCTAAGTAGACATATCAAGTTTATCGTAAAGACAACTCGTATACATCAGTCAACAGTTTCAGCAAACTGAATCTATTCCTTCAGATCCTCGCATCCGAGAGCAAGAGTGCCACCCTAAAGATCAGTTAGTCATACACTCTCCACAGAAGAATCTGCGTTGAAGATTGTCACTTACCAAGAGGTTGGCCTCGGTGCAGCACCGGGGCTCGCTGGTACAGCTGGATTCCTCGTACGGGTGGCCTATAAGCAAAGTTAGAAATACCCCCATCTTGCAAGTATTACACAAGAGTCCAAACATACAGAGAAGGCCAATAGATCCAACGATTTTGGCAGCATCAATGCCGAGCTCCAACAGGAGGGGGTCGACAAGGGGGTCGAGAGGAGTGGTGAGAGTACCACAGCAGAGGAGAGGACCGACACAATCCGAAGTATCACCGCGCTTCATGGAGAGGCCGGACTCCTGGGGAAGGGCAGAAACCATGCCGGCACCAACGAGAGAGAGGACGGAGAGGATTGAGAGTCTCATTTTGATGGAGATTGAAAGTTGGTCTTTGGAAGAAGAGAGAAGTGATTGTTGTTGTTGTGATGGAGAGAGGATTGTGATTGTGAATGATGTCCAGAATTCGTGGAATATCCTCATCCTTATATAGATTTCGACAAGATACCCAAGGCATCAATTGTTTCCGAAAAACCCCCTATGTCCAACAATCCATTACCCTTATCATCGAGATCAGAATGTGGAAATATCCATTTGTGAGTTGTAGACATGAACTCTCCGAGTAGTGTCCATCTCGGTGAACAAGAAGATCTGCGAAACTCTAGATAGCATTTGGCCCCAATGTTAGAGGCCAGATGAGAGGCTTCGACCTCTAACCGAGGCACCAGAGTGCTAGAGGCAGTCCCTGCTACTGGAAGAGTGAGCCAGTTCCTTAGATTGAATCCAACATAGTTCATAATGTGGATATCCATGATTCGCATGAGTTCCAAGTGAGCTATCTTGGGTGTCGATCCCTCTTGGTCCATGCTCAATATCATTGAAAGACATGCAGTGACTGGCTTTCCAATGCCAAGTCAATGTACAAGTCCAATAGCCAGCGGGGCAAACACCCCGGTTATTTCCTCTCCATGTCTCCGGATCGGGGAGTTCCTTATCAGTGGGCCCAGTTTCCGGGATGATCTTCCCTGTGGCATCGAATCAGAACTGCCAAGATGACGATCCACTGTAAGGAACTGGAAGAGCCCTGTCACCCGATCGATGTATCAACCAGCCCCAGAACTCAATTGATTGAAAAAAAAATCAATTCTATACTTCGTACTCCATAGTTTCATCCGCAGTCTCCGCAATCTGAAATTTTATGCAGTTGATTTGAGATTTGTCATTTCCATCCCCCTTAGAGCGCATACTGCGGTAGATCCGGATCCAACCGCGAACAAAGCGAAAAAGGTCGAGATAAGTCTCGCGCCGTTGATTGCACGATGTCAAACTAGCTCGCGGGTATCATAGAGGTGGACATTGTGATGGTCCCAAGGTCTTGGTAAACCTCGATCTGGGCGCATTCAATCTGGATGACTATTGCCCTTCATTGGGTCACTTGGGATTTCCTACATGTCAGCTTCCCCTGATTGTCGTCATGGTTTGGGATGATCTTGATAAGTGTTGCCTGAATGAGTTACGTGAACGTATTGGATCCAACATTGGAAGTAGATATCGATGTTATGCCTCGGTTTAGTCTGTCGCCTAAAACTTGAGGTCTTCATCTCAAATCATTTCTTCTTGGCTTTCAGGGGAATCGATAAAGTCAAAATTATCAATTGGATGCTGTGTAAGAAACCGGAAGAGATAAGGTATTCTCAAGGTAAACTTTGAAGTCGAAACACAATGGTTCATTGTTAGCCATAGTCCATATCCTCATGGACCTACAATGCCCCTCAAAAATCTCCAAAAATCCAGATGAAAATCCCATCCCAGTCATAACGAAGACGAAGACAGAGTGACCAGGGCTGATATGGAAACATGTGGCGGTGCACCTGTGGCGGTGTTATCCACACCGCCACAGCCTCGCGACACAAAAAACTTCCCGCCTCAATTAATCCACACCACATTCCCCGGGGTTATCGATCAACCAACCCCTCTACCTTTTTGATTTTTGAGCAGTTGCCCAGCGCAAATTGCCCATCATAATCAAAATGCCTTCCACTTCTCTCGCCGACCTGGTGGCCTCCCTCCCTTTGGAGGACACCTGGGGCCCCTCCACCTCTGCCGATAACATGCTTTCTGGTGTGCCATACGCTCCTTTCTCCAAGGGCGACAAGCTTGGCCGCATGGCCGACTGGACTGCTGAGAGCAAGGAGCGTCAGAACCAGCGTCCCCAGTACAACCGTGGTTTCAGAGGTATGTTTTCAACTTTTTCTCTGTCCCCACCAACTTGGCTCTTTCAGTCGAATAGCAATGGCTAACAGTCCAAATAGACCAGCAGGTGTACGGCGCCGGTACCTCCAACCTCTTCACTGTCGCTGCCGCCGAGGACGAGTCCTCCTTCTCCGTCGTTGATAACACTCGCGTCCAGAAGCGCGGTTTCGGCCGTGGCGGTGGCACCGTTTTCCGTGGCCGTGGTGGTCAGCGCGGTGCTGCCAACCAGCGTGGTGGACGTGGTGGCTTCCAGCGTGCTGGACCTAATGTTGGCCGTGGCCAGCAGAGCGGTTACCAATTCAGCGACCGTGGTGGCGGCCGTGGTGGCCGTGGTGGCCGTCGTTTCGGCTGGAGAGACTACGACAAGCCCCAGCGTATCCGTGAGGCCTCTGTCAACATCCGCCCCGACTGGAAGATGCTCGAGGAGGTTGACTTCACCCGTCTGTCTAAGCTGAACCTCGATGCCCCCGAGGGCGAGGACCTCGAGACCTACGGTTTCCTCCACTACTACGACAAGTCCTACGACAAGCCCCCTGTCAAGAACGCCGAGCGCAGAATGCAAGCTCTCGACCGTGCTGCCTACAACGTTACTACTTCCCAGGATCCCGTCATCAACGAGCTCTCCGAGAAGAACGCCGCTACCGTCTTCGCCACCTCTGATATCCTGTCCATGCTGATGTGCGCCACCCGCAGTGTCTACTCGTGGGACATCGTCATCGTCCACCAGGGCGACAAGATCTACTTCGACAAGCGCGACGGTGCCTCCTTCGACATGGTCAGTGTCAACGAGAACGCCATCGACGCACCCCTCGAGGCCGCCGAGGCCGCCGGCAAGCAGGAGCAGATTAACACCCCCAACGCCCTCGCCATGGAAGCCACCATCATCAACCACAACTTTGCCCTGCAGACTCTCATCGAGTCCGACAAGTCCAAGGTCTCCTTCGCCAAGCCCAACCCCTTCTACGACGAGACCGAGGAGACCGAGCCCCCTCGCCTCCAAGGGTTACAAGTACCGTCGCTTCGACATCTCCCTCGAGCGCGACGAGGAGCCCGTCTCCATGATCGTCCGCACAGAGGTCGACGCCGTCATGAAGGGCGGTCCCACCGGAACCGAGGATCAGCAGCTCATCATCAAGGCCCTGAACGAGTTCGACCCCAAGGCCCAGGGCTCCGGCGGTGCCCTCGACTGGCGCAGCAAGCTCAACTCCCAGCGTGGTGCCGTCCTCGCTACCGAGATGAAGAACAACTCCGCCAAGCTTGCCCGCTGGACCACCCAGGCTATCCTCGCCAAGGCCGACGGCATGAAGCTCGGCTTCGTGTCCCGTGTCAACCCCCGCTCTGCTGCTGCCCACGTCGTCCTCGGCGTTGCTGGTTACAAGCCCCGCGAGTTTGCTAGCCAGATGAACCTTAACCTCGGTAACGGTTGGGGTATCGTCCGTACTATCGTTGACCGTATCCGTGCTCTCGACTCTGATGAGCCCGCTGAGAAGGTTAAGAAGTACGTTCTCATCAAGGACCCCAACAAGTCTGTTCTCCGTCTGTACAGCGTCCCTGCTACTACTTTCGAGGAGGATGATGAGGAGCTTGAGGAGGAGAAGGAGGGTGAGAAGTCCGATGAGGCTGATGAGTAGATTTTTTTTCCCTGATGACTTATGTTCCTCATTTCCATGTGCATACGTACTCGACCTAAAATTTCATGCTTTTATACTCTTTGACTATAGAGTCTGACCAATAGTCTATTCAATCAAGTTCATTTTGCCAGACAAGCTTTGCTTTCTCTCTCACAAACCTACTGTAATTGTAGAATTATATGTTCAAGGGGAAAGTTCCTAGCGTTTTGACATGCAGAAGTCTATTACGAGGGTGATTATACAGACTGATAATAATTTGTTTTAGTAATGTGGTTTCGTTATTGGTTTGCTGGTGATACAAAGACCTCGAAAGGTGATGTCCATAGCGTTGAGTAACACGCCCGTGGATGGGTGATCAACTTATGTACAACTTTCTCGGGGAAACACAAGGAACATCGTGCCTTTTCGGTGCTTTTCTACGCTTTCACGGTTATATGCGTCGAGGATTTCCGCCGTGGTTGAGTTTGCATGTTGTTTATATATAATCTTTCTAGCACGTATGGATACACATATCGAAGACCCTTACGCGCTGATATGAGTATATATAAACCTAACGCCATTAGAGTAAAGTAATATATATTCAGCTTTTTAGAAGATCGAAGGAGATACGAATAATCGTTCATAGAGAGTAACAAAAAAGAAAAAAGAATATATTGTCCAGGTAAGATATCATCTGCACCTATGGTGATTTCCATTTATATACAACCCTCTCAACGGGAGTATCAAAGACAAAAGACAAAAGAAAAAAAAAAGAAAGAAAGGAAGGCAAAAAAAAAGGGTAGTAAAGAATGGAAAAAGAAATAGTTCACAGGCACAATCAAAACCGAAAGGCAGGCAGCAAGCAAAGGCGCCGAGTCACTCCATGGCAGTAGCCAACACAAACAAAAAGACAGGATTTTCCAGACATCAAATCATAATCATTTTCATTGCGCTTGGCCAACCGCTCAACCATACATTGAGTCATCAACTGTGCCGGACATGCCGAGCTCGACCTTGGTGCCGAGCACGCTGCTCAGACAATCTATCAACTCGAAGTCCTCAACGACAGCGCCGAAGCCATAGCAGCGGACCTTGGTGTTGAGCGTGTCCATGATGATCTTGATATCATCGCGTCGCAGCGTTGGGTACAACTCGTGGTTCTTGAGACATTGCAGCGCCATGATGGGTGTGATTTGTCCTTCTGTCACGAGCTGTCGACTGAGGTTGAGGAGGGTGCTGAGATTTGCGTGTGGGAGATCCGGTGCCTTGTGTGGGTATGGTTGTTCGTGTGTTGTTTTCGCAATGTAGCTCGGCGGTGGACATGTTGCCATCAGGGCGTGTCCAGAAAACGGCATGTCTTCATCGTCGGCTTCTGTGACAGAACGTCGGCAGAGGTAGTCTGTATGTTCGCGGCAGGGGCCTTCAAGTCTGTAGGGATATATTTGTTAGCTCGTATGTTTGCTATTGCATTGGGTGGGCCTTACGTTAGGATGAAGTCAACCTGCAACTGGGGATCCGTTTCGAAGACACCTCCCCGCGTGACCGGCATGGGCTGCATGGTATCGACGGGCGCACACGATGAATGATCCATGTTCATGGAAAGCTCGCCGGCACCCGCGTGGTACACTTGCTGGTGGGGCGCATATCCAACCGCGGGCGAGATCTCCGAGTGATCCATACCATTCGCACGAGGGCTCATGCCGGATGAGATCGTGGTTGCAGGGGTTGTATTGTGGTTGCTGGCGGAGTGGGCGAGAGGCGCACTCTGCGACGCAGTGCTGCTGCCAGCGACAGTGAGAGGGCTCGATTGGAAGGCCATCATCGGTGGGCGCTCCGCCCGGCGGCGTTCTAGCTCCGCTTCGTATTGAATTCCACTCGCTACGAGAATTTCCTTCAGGATCTCGTTCTCCTCTCGTATCGAATGGATCAGCTCTTTGTGTTGTTGGATTGATGCGTTGGCCTCTGCGATCTCCGTGGTGTAAGCCTCCCGTAATCGTGATACTTCGGTCTCCAGTGCTCTCATGTATTGTTCCTTTCGCTCGCGATGTGTCCTATGTGGATCAGTCCAGCCCGATGGTTATTGTAATCCGCGGGTTGTGTACCTCTGGGCCTGACGGTTCAGTTCCTGCCGTCTGGTGAGTGCAGGCTTGCTATCCGGCTTGGGGCCGCGACGTTTGGGTTGTTGACCATCTGGAAAAAGGTTAGTTGTGATCCGATCGAACGGCTGAGATCAGATCACTCACCTCGCGTGGTCTTCTTCGGTGCATTGGCACTAGCAGCGCTGCCACTGCCACCTCCTCCAAAGATCTTGAATATTTCGGCTCCGAAGCCTTTGCTCGATGGGGTCTGTGGTTCTTCTACCATGTTCTGCACCGTGCACTCCGGGGCCGTGGGCCGAGCCGGAGAGACATTGGCGCCACAATGTCAGCTACGACCATAGAAATGCGATAAAAACAGTGGATATCTGTTTCTGGTTGGGGAACGCCCAGGGCCGGTGGTCGGGGAGGGGTTGACTCTGGATAGCTTCCAGTGTGGCGAGAACCGGGGAAACCCGCTATAATTCCCGAACCCCAGGCTTCATCAAGTTCACCAGGCTCTCCAGGTTCAACAAGTTCGCTAGTTTCGCCAGCTTGCACATTTGCGATCGAGGGACCAGAGTTTAATTGGACCCGTACATTCCAGATATGTTGGTGATCTGTATGTAGAGCTGCTGGATACCCCCCGATCGCGAAACACCCATAGTAGAATAGTAAAGAAAATGAAACTCACCAGAGTAACCCATTGCATGTTCCATTGGGTAGACCCCACCACTGACAGCCATTTGAGAGTTTTGCGGGAAGAGGCAAGGGAGAAGGTTAAGTCTGAGAATGAGTCGAGAAGGTATGGAGCCTTAGTCCGTGAAGATCGGAAGAAGAGAGTTAAAGAGTACAACATATAAGGGAAGAAAGTGGATAGAGCCGATTTTTGTACAACTCCTTTTTTTTTTTAGGTCATTTTATTTTATATTTTATATTTTATTGTTCTTATTAACTGATTTTATGCAAATAGAAATAATATAATAAAATACTACAATAAAATAATACAAAACAATACAAAATAATAAGGCGTTCGATCTGTCTTAGGGCTCCACATAATCAAACGGCCGTGAGACCTGAGTTGTAAGGTAAATATACGAAGTACATCTGGGGATACCCTGGTATATTATGTATTTAGTACTCCGTATGGATTAACTTGAATTAACTGAAAAAGACTGAAATAGACCCATATCACCTGAAACAGAGAATATTGAACACTGTACATCCTCGACGCGTTAATAGGGTCATGACAACTAAAGGTACATGGTTGGTACTACATTTAACCTCTCTTGCCTCACTACAACACAAGTATTTGGCAAGTACCAGGTACGTGCGAAGCTTAGTGTGATCAGTCGAGTGGGCTGGCCAATCATTTCGTCCCACCGCCCTGGAGGAACTCCCAGTCACATCCAATAGTCTCTCCCATATTGAATTACCCAGGGCCTATCCTCCTTGACAAATACTATGAATCCCTGACCCTGAATCTCACTAGTGCGCATCGAATATCACAATGGGCGCTCCAATAAAAACGGAAAATGATCCAAGTCCCCGAGTCTCAGATTCTAGTGCACATCGCCGCAGCGAGCACCGCACAAGATGATGCCCGCTATAGGGCCCAAGTCGCCGCCATCTTGGACTTCCAGTGTGCCTCACGCCACCCATTGATGGAGGAGACCAACTCCTCACCTCCCACCAGTGCAGACAATACGCACCCTTTTTCCGCGGATGCCGCCGTACAGTTCTCGGCGTCCCCGACGACTCAACACGAGGCTTCGCCAATCTTGCGGGAGGCGCCCCGGCCCGCATACACGACCTTATCCTCGGATCCTCGCTTGCTCCCTAGGAAAGATAGCCCAGCTCCACGCAAGCACATCATCTCAAATCATCCCGACTCCCTAGAGTCCCTCATCAGCGTCATCCCAGACTCCCAGCCGGAGATCGACCAGGAACTAGTTCGCGCCGAGCAATCTCGTGCAGAACTATCGCCTCCATCGCAGCTCGCTCCACCTCCCAAAAGACATCGCACAGCCCCGGCTTCACCGGATCCAGCGCAACCAATTTTAATTGCAGATTCTCCTGCAACGGACCAGCCCGCTACATCTCACGGGGTCATCCCCATCGAGAACGAACTGTCCATCCCCACTAGCATCCCCACTGGTTTCCCTGAAATCCCTATCGAAGTATCCAGCTCAGATCAAGGAAAAGGTCCAGATCCCCCCATCACTCGTACTACCACTCCCTCACATCACATGCCCGCGAACACCCCAACCCCAACCCCAACCCAAAACCAAACCCCGAATCACATCAATCTATCCACTCTCCCTCTCGAAATCCACCCCCCAAGACCCCCAATCTCCACTGCCCCTTTCATTACCCACATAACCTCAACCCTAGCAATGCTCACAGAGCGTCTAAACCCAGCACGAACCTACAAACCATCCACTCAGACCCGACCCCTCGACCCCCTAGAACGGGGCTATTGGCTCGTGCACCTCGCTATTCAGAACCCCCAAAGCCGAGAGCGAGATTCAGACGATCTCGCAGATCAAAACCCAAACCCAAAATCTGGAACCACTAATGCCACTCAAAGCCCAACTTCAAGGCCAAAGTCAAAGTCAAAATCAGAGCCAACGGAGATCATGCGGGTATGGCCTTACCCGCTATTTCATGCTTTCTGGTCTTTTCTCTCAGACTTCGTCGGTAGGGACGGCCGTGCGGGATGGGGCGTCTGGTGTATCCTCGAGGCTGCGACGGCCCCGTCAACGCTCTCGTCTGACACGTACGTCTCTCTTAAAGTCTATGCGTGGGGTGAGGTTGCTATGCACGTTTACCTTTTGCTCTTCTTGGCGAGTGAGCGGCGGATTCGTGGGATGGGTGTTCAGTGGCGGGATTCCGGGGAGGAGGTTGTTATCCAAATGCCGTAGAAGATGGTTATTGGTTAGGAAGTATGTTTGGCTAGGGGATTTGGGCTGTGTTTAATATTTGATTGAGAATTGTAAACTTATAATATCGATACCCCCCAATACGCGTTGCAATGAATGTCATTTGATATTTTTGAATCCTCAATTTCATATTTTGATAGAAGGGTTATTGTACATGTTGGGAAATAAAGAAAAAAAGAAATTCCGTTGGGGATGATAAGATGATAATAAACAACAAAGAGATAAAAAAATAAGAGCCATGTTTTCGCAAGTAGAGATCAATGAAAATGATTGAATTCAATAAATGAGCAAGTTGGAGTCAGCGAACCTCCGATGGTCCCTCCGATGCGCCAGGTCGCCAATTGGAGGAAAAGAGAAAAAGAAGAAGAAAAAGAAAGAATAAGAGAAAAACACAAGAGCGAAAGATGTGATCATATCAGCAGCTGCAACTAGTACTGCAATTCGCCACTGCCAGATGCGTCGACTGCATCTAGATCCTCGTAGCTCTTCAGGCTGCGACCCTGGACGGCTTCGCGCGGCGCCATGGGACCTCCGCTGGAAGAGTCTGGGAATGAGTTGGCGGCAGCCATGGCTGCGGGATGACCAGCTGGAACATTGACACCAGGAGGCGGGAGACGACCACCACCATACATGCCAGGCATGCCGCGAGGAGGGCTCAGTCGGCCGTTGCCGTTGAATCGGCGACGGTCGTACGGACCGGGTCGGTTGTTGCGGTTCTGGCCGCGACGCATGGGGCCGGGCTGGTGCAGACCACCGTCGTGTCCCATTGCGTTTCCATTCCAGCCACCTGCGTGTGCACCCATCATGCCGGGCATTCCACTTGGGGGGAAGGTAGGCATGTTTCCATTGGGGGCGTAGGGCAGACTGGCAAGGCTGAATCCACGAGGAGTGCCGGTGTGGCCTTGTCCGGAGCCAAGGGGGAAGTGACCATTGCTGTTGGCGTCGGATCGCGATGGGGCAATGCGGGCTGGGTCCAAGACATAGGCGTTCACTAATGCGAGCTGTGATAATTGTTAATACTGGGAAGCATTGTTAGATGGTTGCACACTTACATCGTTCTTGATTCCCTCGAACCACTCTGCATGACGCTTTTCAATGTGCTTGCGCCAGAAGGCTTCGGCCTTGAAAAGCTTGGTACATTCAGGCGCCTTGCACCGGTACTTGGAGTCGTCCTCTTGCTTCATATACTTCAGGAGTTCATCTTCAAGCGCCTGGTCAACGGGCTTGCCGCCGAGCTTGCTAAGATCGACGTTCTCCGGCTCCAGGATCTGCAGCAATTTGTCTTCAAAGGTCTTCACCCAGTTAAAGGCTCGCTGCAATTGCTGTTCAGATTTGGAACCATGACGCTGGCCGCGCTTTTCCTGGACAGGTGAAGAGAGATCTTCTCCTTCCTCGCTAGGTTCCTTCTTCTTGGCTGGGAACGGCTGGCCAAGAGCGCTGGCTCGTGCCACTTCCTTAGCCTGGGTGGAAAGTCCGGTGCGTGGACGGCGAAGGTGTCCACCAGGGCACTTGCGGCCAAGCTCATGGACTGAGTCACTTTCAAAGACACAGAAGAAGCAGAAGTTGTAGACCCGGCGCAGGTATTCAACAACCAAGTCCAGCTTCTTCTTCTTAACTGCAAGTTCCTCATCATCCACATCTTCTTCTTCGGGAATTTCCTTCTCTTCGCCTTCCTCAATCTCGCCTTCGTCCCCTTCATCGCTATATCCGTTTCTCTGCTTCTTCGCGCTGACTGGTCCCGTAGCCGGGGGCTGGAGCTCTCCTTTGCCACGGAGGTCGTCAACATACTCGTCGATCTTAGTGAAACCATCCACGGCGATATTCATCTCGGAGTCCAACTTGGAAGTCAAACGTTTGGCCAGCTCGAGATCACGATCAATTCGCTCGGGCGCGGAGAACAGATCCCAGAGAGCCTTCTTGCGCGGCTGAGCAGGGGGAACATGGACTCCCACGTGGCAAACAAAGTCACCGTGGACAGAATCATGGATGGTCTTGTCATTAACAGCCTCGAGAGCTTTCTCAGCCGGGCTGGTTGTGACACCGCCGTTGGCACTTCCGTCATGGTCCATATTTTCGAATTCTTCATCGCGTCCATCTCCGCGCTCCACTGTGTTGGTGTTTGTGGAAGGATGCAACATGATCCATCCCATACGATGGAACTTTTTGGAGGGGTTCGGGTCACTGAGACTGAGGCCCTTGAAACCTCCATCTTCCTCGCCGAGATGTTCCTTGCAGAATTCCTCAATCTTGCTGCGGCTGACGTTGGGCGCAAGGGTTTTTATAAGAAGCGCGGGTTGCGCAAGAGCCTCGTCGCGAAGGTCTCCACCGCGGACTGGAAGTAGGTCAAGCACTCCCATAGTCTCAGCGGTAGCCGTAGTCTCGCCTTCCTCCTTCTCAACCACACCACCGGCACCGTCGCTATCGCTCTTGTATATGCCTTCAAGGGTAAAGTCCTTGAAAAGGTTGTTGTCCATATCATGTTCCCACTGTTCGTATGCACCTTGTCGAACCGTCATGAGGCGGGCGCGAAGAGGATCTCTGACTTCAGGAACATAGCGTTCTTTGAACCACTCCTCATTCCGGTGCTGCTGGACGAACAGCCTGGCTAGTCGAATTTGCAGATCAACCTTGTATGTATCATAAGCTGCTTGGATTTGAGCACGCTCCTTTTCGCGATCTTCGCGCGCCTCGCGTTCGCCCTTGACTCGACGACCGCCGTTCTTGGCGCGCTCTTTCTCCTCATTCACGGATTCTTCCAATCTCCACCACTCTGCAAACCAATTGAATCCTACTTGGAAATCGAGTGTAAGAGGGTTAGGCATAGGGTTGGTCGGAATAGGACGCTTGCCACCACCACTTCCGTCTTGTCCGGGCACATAGCGGTCGATGTTTGCCACAGTTGGGGAGGGGGCACGTCGGCGGTCCTCACGCTCTCGGGCAGCATGCTCCCGAGAATTATTGTAAAAGTCTTCACGGTGAGAACGACGCTCCGAAGGCTCGTACCGGTCGATCACGGGCGAGCGGGAGCGCGGCCGTGCACGTCGTCGATCTTGAGAGGCTGGCCACATAAGTCAATTTCGCCCACCTCTCTCTACTAATATTCAACGATGGACTTACCTGGCGACCGACGTCTGTATGATTCCCCTGAGGCTCGCCCCGTAAAGGAATCTGACTCACGGCTCCTTCCGGGAGATCCATAACCGTCGTAGGAATCCATTTTTCTAAACCTTCCAGGATAGTATGTTCAATGCCTTCGCTGCAATCAATTTATTGATAAACCAAGGACTCAGCCCAGGTAGATAAAGTGCAGCGGAACAGTCTGCGTTGATCGATCAGGGAGTCGGGAACCGCAGGGTGAGCTAAGATTTGGTATCGTCAACATCAGACCAAGCAACTTCATGGAGCGAAATAGCGATGGTGGCGGCTGGGCAGTTCACGAGGAATAACATAGGCAGGGGTTGAGGGAAAAGAGAGAGAGAAGAACACGCTGCCGCTGGCGACATGTCCGCCCCGGAACTTGGCAGGGGGTTGGAACATGCTGGCAGCAGGTGATTTCGGATAGCAAAGAGAGATTATGAAGAAGGCTGCTGGGCAGAGCCAATGCTGTTATGCATATAAAGAGTCATAGCCCACAAAGTCCAGCAATGCGCAGCTAGCGCCACGGCTTAGAATGGAAGAAAAGAAGATGAAGCAGGGGAATGAAAAAGCAGGGTCAGAGGAGCGGAGGCTGATAGAAAGAGAAAGGGCAAGGGACAAAGCCAAAGAATAAACAGAAAGCGAATTGGAGAAAGAAGAGGGCCACCTACAAGAAGCCTCGAGCGAAACGCGACAGTTGGCGATAAAAGGAAGAAGCCGAGGAGGCGGACGAAGCTGGAGAGAGCTGGGCGCTTAGCCGAAAAGGGTATAGCGGCACGGGGATGACTGACATCCGCTGATTGGTTCTCAGCAACAGCCCCGGGGGTCCTAGAGGTCCAAATGACAATTGCCTGCCCTAACTTGGTAAGCTGAGTTGAGAATTTTTTGGTAAGTCAGGAATAAAATGAGGAGAGGAAGGGGAAGAGAAAGTTGCTTCGAGTGGAAAAAGTGTGAGTCGTGTCAGCCAGTCCAATATGGATGAACGAAGTAACATCCCGCAACAATCAGCATGCCCGGAAACTTCAATCGTGTCAATAATTTACTTCATGGAAGGCTACTTCGGTGTTGTGCGACTTATTTCCACTCAACGGCCTATCAACCTTTTACTTTTCCTTAAGCCCCTCATCATTTATGTCGATTGCCAGGTCACTTTTCGCTTCACTACATAGCTAGCGCCGACAAACGAAGTGATACATCCATGCATAGATCCCTAGGGCACGGAGAAATAAAAAAAACATGGCGCCTTCCTTTTAAATTATTCCTTGGGGATTATGTATATACATATTATCAATGGAATAGTCGGTGTAAAATGTCCCATTGCAATGACCACTTGTATAACAGGTCTGTATGGTTCTCAGAACTCCCAGTCTTCCTGTTATAGATCGCTCCAAGGTCCGTATTCATTACAGCAAGACAAAATATGGGGGGGCGATGTCTAGATGACATTCAATCTTGAAAGAATATTCGTTTTAGACACTCAGAGCTCATTGGCCTAGTCATTACCACACAAAGAAGGTCGGCTTCGCTGTGTCAAAGTCCACTCGCTGTAAACCTACCACCTCCACCTTTCGATAGAAAATGCAGTGCATACATACGGAGTGTAGATATGGTACTCAATGGCATGCCGAACTACACAAGACTGCTCAAGACTCAACAAGAACAGGAGATACAATGCGGTAATACATACCATTACTATGGATAGGTATACATTCCTCCCAATCCTGACAGATGACAGATACAAAGATAGGCAAAAAAAAGAAACCCCCCGTTGTGAGAGCTCAACTCTCTCCCCACATGTCTTTCACAGGCACAATATCTGATAGGGCCCATGCCAACCGCTGATTGGT